TTTCCCTAGTGTGCTCTCAGAGGACCAAGACAGTTACCTTTGTAATGTCACCTTGTTTAGGAAGGCAGTTGATGACTTCAGACACAAAGCCAGGGAAAACAAGTAAGATCATTATTTTTTCTTTGTTTTTTTTATTTTGTTAAATCACCTATACACCAGTGTGGACAATTTTGTTTTACCCCCACGTTTAGATTCATTGTTCGTGATTTCCAGTATAATGAAGAGGAGATGAAAGCAGACAAAGAAGAAATGAACAGGCTTTCTACTGACAAGAAGAAGCAATTTGTATGTGTTCTTAACATTTAGCATTGGCCTTGTTAAACAGAAGAAAACCTGGTGTTGCTTTTATTTGATTTAAGAAAGCAAAACTCCCATTTTGCTTTTAAGACATTTGATTTTAAGTATTTTTTCTATTAAATAAGCAGAATGAGTTTTTTCTAAAGCTGAGATTTGTGAGTAGTTATCTTAAAATACATACCTAAAGCCGAAACCGGTTTGGCTCAGTGGATAGAGCGTCGGCCTGCGGACTGAAAGGTCCCAGGTTCGATTCCGGTCAAGGGCATGTACCTGGGTTGCGGGCACATCCCCAGTGGGAGATGTGCAGGAGGCAGCTGGTCGATGTTTCTCTCTCGTCGATGTTTCTAACTCTCTATCTCTCTCCCTTCCTCTCTGTAAAAAATCAATAAAATATATTAAAAAAAATACATACCTAAAATTAATTACTCCCATTTAATCGATATCAGAAATTAATTTTAAATGCAGTGTTTTGATTGGAACCCCTGTGGTGGAAGCGTTATTTAAGTAGTAACTTTCCTTTCCAGTAAGACCTTTTTTTTTCTTGAGGCAAATGTTTTTAATGCCACAATATTTTACTGAAGCAATTTATTGAAATCATTGGAGAATTGTTATGTTCTAGGCAAAATGGGAACAGGAATGGATTTGGTGTCCACTTTCTTGCCATCTTCAAATACAGGACTATTGTGAAGACCAAAAGATTGTGAGGAAGGGGAGACGTGACTAGTGAAAAGGTGTTTCTCTTATAATGAAAGAGAAAAGAAAAGCAAATTTCATTTAAAGTTATTTCTAAGAACTTTATAAACCATATTATCTTAGTTGGAAGAAAATTAACCCTAACCAAGTAATATCTAAGCAAACCAATTGGTTCATCTAATTCCTACTTGCCATTTTCAAGACCAGATTTGTGGTAATTTTTTCCCTCTTTTATAGGGACCACTTGTGCGGTGGCTGAAAGTGAATTTCAGTGAAGCATTTATTGCGTGGACTCATGTGAAAGCATTGAGGGTTTTTGTAGAGTCTGTTTTAAGGTAAAGAAAGTTAATTGAGAAACATGGGTATGAAGAGCTTATAGATGCCTTTATATTGGACCCCTTTATTATATCACACAGCCCAGTAATAGGAAATGGGCTTGTAGAAACCAAAGGGCCAGTGGTGAGGAGGGGCTGTTAGTGTCACCCAGCTATTGCATGTGTGTTAGTCGTGTCTCTTAACACTGGGTTTAGGACCAGAGCTCCCTGCTGCTATGCTCTCAGAGTCTCTTCTCATGTATTTAAGCCAAACGTAGATTATACAATATTAGCCAATGTTTGTTTAAAAGAAGATCTTTCAGATATTTACATGTACACAGTATACTAATGACTTATATGAAATCATTGTTTCATTTAACCTATAATATTTAATATTTTGACATAAAATCTAAATCATCTTGTGATCCTGTGTACATGTTACTCTTATTAGAAATTGTTATAGACGTACCTGCAGCTATGCTATTTTAAAATTACTTGGAATTTTCAAAGTAGATGTGGGTAATCTCATTGTTTATCTTGAAAGTATTTACTGAGTTTACACATTATCACTATTTTATTCATAGATTTCCTTAAAATTAAAGAGTAATTAAAGTAATTCCTAATAGATAATTGGCTCTCATTTTAGAGAAAAATACCTAGTGGACAGTGAGGACCAGAGAAGGCTTGAGTTTCTGTGTATATTAGTTGAACTTGTAAAATGAGGTCCATCTCCCCATTAGCGGTGATTAAAGAAGAGGATGGAAATATTTGCTTTCACAATAAAGTCTATGTGTGTGTTTGTGTTACATAATATATTTTTGCTTCCTTACAAGGTATGGCTTGCCAGTGAACTTCCAAGCAATGCTACTTCAGCCCAATAAGAAAACAATGAAGAAACTAAGAGAAGTATTACATGAATTGTATAAACATCTAGATAGCAGTGCAGCAGCTATCATTGATGTAAGTACTTATTAGATAGCCTTGGAGAATAAGAACTGGAATGAATTTCAAAAAAAATTGGAAAAGATAGACAGAAAAGGGATAGTAAATATCATGTTACTCATTTTTTAAAAGTTATTTCTAAGTACTTTTGAGATTCTCAGTTAATTGTTTGATAAACATAGCCAGTAATTTACCTTGTTTACCCTGTTTTTGCTAGTTAGAGCTGGGAATGCCAAAAGCCAATCATTATCTTGCTTTAAACCAGATGGTCATAGTTGCAGAAATACAGAACCAACCAGTGATACAAGTTATTTACAAAAATTATAATTCTTTTCTTGCAGAGAAGAAAATTAGTAGTTATTTTAACTTTATTTGGTAGAAGTAATGAGTTAATAGATGAGCATTGTAAAGCAAATTGTTTTTCTAAAATGGTATGTGTTTATATCATCTTTTAAATAGAAAATAAAGCATGTGTTTTTTGTCATTGTTTAAAATTGTAGTGGGCATTTATATTTTTTATTTCAAATATTTTGATTTTCTACCCCTCTTTAGGATGGTAAATCTCACATGTGTATTAGTTAGAACCTATGAAAATAAAGGTTTTTTTGATAGAAAGTGCAAGAAATGACCGTCTGCATTTTCATGGAATTGTCTATAAAATAGGTCTAAATATTTGCTACATAATTTCCTAACAGTAAATTCTTATAACATGCATATGTAATTTATGATATCTTTAAACAAAGCTTCACTTATTTTTATCCAATACTTTATTTTCTTTTATCCTGGAAATGCAATACTCCAAGCCTGAGATGTAAAAACAATTCTTTACAGTGTGCATAAAAAGGGCTGGCAGGACCAGGCAGACACACAGGCTGTGGAGTCACAACAGGCTTGACGCTTGGCCTGACTGCGCTGTTTCCTAGGGAAGTCAGCCTTTCTGAGGTGGTTTCCTCATTGGCAAAATGGAGATGATAATGCCTGCCTCAGGTTAAATGAGCAGAAATGCATAAACTTAGTCCAGAGGAGGTGTTTAATAGACGGCACATGGTAATACTTTACTTCTTTGTTTGCTTTCTGTAAGTACATAATCGAGCACTTTGTCTGATTTCCATAGGCGTAATACTACCCCTATGTATACTACAAGATCGATTGCAACTTGCTGGAATTCAAGTGAAAACGAGCTCTTCCCAGACAGCCCTGTCCTTGTGTTGGTGTACGCTAACCGAAATAGGCTGAAGTATGGCAGTGCTTTTAACTCTATTACCCTGTGCTTGCTTCTGACCCTTTTCCTAGGTGAATTCTCCCATCGTGGTCCATTTCCAAACGTTTTCTTTTAAAAGAAAAATGTATGTCTTGTTTCTTTTTATTGATCAGGTCTGTAAATGTGTACTAAAAAAATCAGAGTCTATTTATAAACAGAATAGTTTATTTAAAGAGGTCTTTCCTCACAATGTTGTGATATGCGTAATTCCATTTGTTACTGTTGTGCACAGAAGCCTTGTTTACAAGGGAATGGTGTAAACATTTATGCCGTTTTGCTCACTGTATTTAGTAGACATAACTGTTTAATAGTTACTGAATCGTGATGTAAAGAAATGTGACAATATTCAGGTATGTGCTTTCTCAATGTTTCAAATGAAATCTCGGAGCTTTGTTGACATCCACAGGAGAGAATAAAATTACCTGTGCAAAGCTGTATGTGGTGTGCGTGCCTTCAGATTACAGTTCAGCTTGAGAGTTTAATGACTGGGATCAGAGCTCACTTGCTGTGCCCCTTTCAGGATGGGCATTTACCTTTGGACACTAGACTCATAGTTCTCAAATCATTAGGAAGTAGGGCCAATTTTGAATAAAAGTATAGCAAAACTGCAGCTTTAGTCACTTGTTTTGTCTAAGTATTTTACACATTTTAAAGCTCTATAATTATAAAAGCCTTTATTTTGACATTGATGACATAGTCTGAAGATAGAAGCATTGCTAGCCTTAGTGCACGACTTAGTTTAGCATCGTTAGAGCTTTTAAACGAGGGTTTTGTGGCAGAGCTGCCCTGCCTGTGCCCTCACCACCTAGTTAAGTGGGAGAAAGAAGTTTACATTTCATTTTAAGGGCATTTAGAAACGATCCTATTTTCTCTAGAAAGTTAGTCTCCAAGATCTTTGTATTTCAAAATTAATTGTTAAGTTCAAACTATATAGACTTCTAAAAGTAAAACATGAGAGATGATGCCTGCTCCCTCCACTGCCCTCCCTCCTCTCCCCACCTTCCCACCCCCAGCCAATTGCTTCTTCCCAAGGGAGTTTATGTATGTATTCTTCCAGGCCTTTTTTTTTTTTATCTCCACAGCATAGGTCACACACAGATACATGCACGTGCACACACACACATGCACAGTTTATTTTAAAATAAAAATAAGAGCATATTGCACATACCCTGTCACCTTTTTTCTTACTAGTATACCCAAGATATCCTTACGTGTCCATGTACCTAGAGCTACCTCATTCTTTAACCAGCTGTGTGGTTTTCCCTCATGTGTTTGTGCCATAATACAGCTGACGGGATGGCTGTCAGCTTGTATTAGTTTTTGGTACTGCTTTAGTCAACATCTGGCACAGATGTCTTTGTTTCCTTCTATTAGTATTTCTGTAAGAGATCCTGGAAGCAGATTGGAAGGTGTGTATGCTTACATTTTGACACATACTACCAAGTCATCCATTAATGTTCATTGAAAACCTGTTGGGAATGCAGATTTTATTTTCAGTTTTCCTTCAGATAAGAGGAAGCTGAAAGGTTTTGCTGTTGATAAAAAATTCTGGTTCTGTTTCTTATGAGTATTCTTTGAGTCTTAGGATCTGTAAAAGGAATATAATCTCTATTATGGGCAATGTGTTTTGCTGATTAAAAGATTTGTAGGCCTACTCAATATTTAAGGTTTGATTTAGACTTTAATATTATTCTGATAGGAGTTGGTAGAATTGTATCAAGTCTAAAATCCCAGCGTAGGTCTGGAACCACGGGACTTCCGCTATGACTTTTCTCAGGGACGCAGTCCAGCCGAGTGGCTGAGTGTAGCTCTGGAGCCAGAGCCCAACTCTGCCACGGAACAGCTCTGTGGTCTCCACGTTTGGTCCCTCCTTCATGGCCTAGAGATCCCCCTCTCACAGGGCTGCTGTGCTGGGGAGGCAAATTCCCAAACGCACATAGAGAACTTAGAAAGGTGCCTGGTAAGTGCTTGAACATGGACTTACAATCCTGGAGGCGTGCTGGTCGCTCCTCGTTCACTAGTGTGTGATCTGGAATTCCATGGTCCGGGACACTGTGGCGTCTGAAGACCAGAAAGAAGTAATTGTGGGGGCGGGCAAGGTGAATAACAGAGCTTGTGTCTGTAACATAACATTAAAGCAGTTGGAGTGTCTCCGAGCTCAGTCGTGGTGGATTATTTACGTTGTTACCGGCAGCTCCCTTTCCTGGGAAGGGGCTGTTTCATCGCTGGCCTTGCATTGTGACTAATCTACTGGTTCTCTAGGGTAGAGCTGAGACCCTTCAGCTGGTGTGCACACCCACCACCTCGTCCCTTCCCTGTTCATGGCGGGAGGACTGCTGGTCCCCATCCTACACTGCAGGGGCTGAGGGTCAAAGAAGTGAAGGGATTTCTTTGTTAAAACTCACAAAATTTGAGTCGGAATCAGAACTTGAACCTCAAAGTTCTGACTGCTGAGATCTTTCCTTGGCACCATGTCTCCTGCCCTCCACTAGGCACTTACTGTGTAAGTGAGCCAAACGCATTCCATAACCAGAGTTCACGTTAGTGATGTGGAAAAGACATTGAGCCCAGCCGGTGTTGCTCAGTGGTTGAGCATCGACCTATGAACCAGGAGGTCATGGTTTGATCCCTGGTCAGGGCACATGCTTGAGTTGCAGGCTTGATCCCCAGTAGGTGGCATGCAAGAGGCAGTCAATCGATGATGTCCCTCTCATCGATGTTTCTATTCCTCTGCCTTTCTCAAAAAAAAATCAATAAAAACATTTTAAGAGAAGAAAAGACATTGGGCCAGGTGCTCAGTATTTTGAGCATTGGCCTGTGGACCCAAGGGTAGTGGGTTTGATCCCCGGCCCCGGTCAGGGTGTGTGTGGGAGGCAACTAATCGATGGGTTTCTCTCACATCAATGTTTCTTTCTCTCCCCTTTCCACTCTCTAAAAAAAAAAAGATCAATAGAAAAATATCCTCTGGTGAGGATTAAAAAGAAGACATTGGGTGTGTATCTTGAGATATTAAGTTGTGTAGGTGGTTGGCAGGAACCCGGGAGCCCCGAACATTTTGTCACTGATGGGCAAGGATGTCTAGGTGTTGCATATTAATTTCAGTAGCCTGACTTACTCAACCAGGAAGATTTCCCTGCCTCTGAAAGTACCTGCTGGAGTTGCTCTGAAGCAGACACTGGTCTGGTGGAACATAATCCGTATGGCTTTTTGAATGAACACAAATCAAGTACCTTTAAAGTAATATCCACCCTATCTAATAATAGACAAACATGGTAATTGACTGTACCTTTGCTATGCCTCCCATTGGCTAATCAGTATGATATGCAAATTAACCGCCAACAAAGATGGTGGCTAATTTGCATATACTGGCTGGGAGCGAAGACTGAAGACACCATAGAAGGAAGCCAAGCAACAGAATTGAGGTAGCGGAGACAGGCAGGAGAGAAGTGGCAGAGATGGGCGGGGTAGCAGCGGCAGAGAGGTGGGGTAGCAGCAGCAGAGATGGGAGCGAAGCCCTATTCTTGCAGGAATCTTCCTGCAACGGGCTTCTAGTCTATATAATAAAAGCCTAGGCGACCCTTACAATGGAACAACCAGAACGACCGGTCACTATGATGTGCACTGACCACTAGGGGGCAGACGCTCAACGCAGGAGCTACCCCCTGGTGGTCAGTGCGCTCCCACGGGGGGAGCACCACTCAGCCAGAAGCCGGGCTCACAGCTGGCGAGCACAGCGGCATTAAAAAGAGGAGGGGAGAGAGAGAGAGTAGATAAATTGTATGTACAACACTACCTGAACTTGAAAGTAGCGTTTGTTTAACCAGATGATGATGAACAGAAATGATCAGAATATTAAATCCAAAGAGCAGCTTTCGTGTACTTCACCATTTCCTAGTGTGGAGAGTTCTGTGACAGGTCGTCCATCATTTATCTTTTCACCAATACAACCTGCCAGATTTCATATTTAACTATCTAGGTACATATTTGGGTCGATTCTCCAAGTAATTATGCCTCAGTACAGGGTTTAATGTTACTGGAAGCATAAAGTAA